GGCCTGTGCAGCACATATGTCAGCCTCACGGACCGTGGGCAACGCCTTGCATGCCGTTGGCCCTGCACACATCCATGGTTTGGCGCTGTTGTGCGTGTTCTCTGCTTGCACCTGTTCACCATCACACCATCACCCACCACGCCCCACACAGTCCATGGAACCAAACGAGACCACCCACAACAGGACCGCCAGTGAGTGCCCGTCACAACGCGCACCCTCTCCCCCCTCTCCACCAACCCTGCGCCAGCCACGCACACGAACAACGCAAGCCACCACCTCTCACTCCCACTCAACACACACACACATGCACCTTGATTCGCGTTTCGCCTGTCGCTTGTTGCTTGTTTGTGTGTGTTTGGTCTTGTTGATTCGTGTTTGGGCGATTTGTCGAAGATGCCACAAATAATCGCCCACTGCTGCGTTTGTGCGGCAACTGCTGTTTGCTTTTGCTTGTTGAAGGGCGGACTTGCTTGCTTGGTTGCTTGCTTGCTTGCTTGGTTGGTTGGTTTCAATGAGACAAGAAGCAGAAGAAGGAGAAGAGGAAGGGGGAACAGCACTGTGTGTGAATGCAACGCAGGCTCACAGGCCTTGCAGGCTGAGGAGGGAGAAGAGAAGGGGAGAAGAGAAGGGGGAATGGAAAAGGAGAAGAAACAAACACACACACAGCTGTGCACAGCATGCATCCCCTCCCCTTATCTCTTCTTCGCTTCCTCCTCCTCCTCCCCCTCCTTCTCACAGTCACAACAGACAACCAACAGCCACAAAGGGCTGGAAGAGAAAACAAACAAGGCAACGGCCACCCAGCCAGACCGCCATGGAAGAAAGAGGCGAGGCGATGGAGAGGGGGGGAAGGAGAACACCGTCCATCAACACACACACACATCTATTGGGAGCCCCCACGTCTTCTGTCCTTGCTTCCCCTCTTCCTTTCCTCGGCCTGGGTTGAGTTGTGTTGGTTGAGGTGGCACAGCTCGCCATGGCTTGTCATGCCTGGATGTGGGTGTGGGCATGGGTCTTGGATGCAGATGGGTTCCTCACTGTGTGTGTGCAAAGGGGGTTGGAGGGAAACAGTGGAAGGGGTGGCAGCAGCAGCAGAGAGGAAGGAGAAGAAGCAAGGGAAGGGCGGTGGATGTGAGCATGCCATGCATGAGTGGACAACAACAACACATGGGCGTGCAATGGTGATGATGTGTGCTTGGTGTTGTGCGTTGTATGTGATGGCACAAGGACACAAGGACACGAAGGTCAACCACACACGCAATCACACACACCTCGTCGTCGATCAACGCATCTGCCCGACATATGCGCACACGCACATCTGCAGTCACACACACACACACACACAGTCACACATGGCATTGCAGAGTGAGACGATGCACCATGCACACGCATACATAACAATGCAAAACACAACCACCACAAGCATTACAACGACAACATCTCTCCCCTCATCTCCATCCCCCAAATGCACGGTCACATGACACGGTGCACAGCCATGGTGGTGATGATGGCCATGATGAACGCCTTCCTCCCCCACTTCCCCTCAACCTCTTCCACCAAACACACGCACACCATTGCATGCCCTCACCTCGTGCATCGTGTCGCTGTCGGCGTGGTTGATGGCGACGCACACACATGTACACGCACACACGCACACACGCACACATCGCCGTGTATGTTCCCAGTTGAGATGAGCAACGAAGAGAGAGAAATGGGCGACATGACATGATTGGCCAGTCAACCCCAGCCAATCCAATCCAGCATCACCGCCGTGTGTTGCCTGCTGCAGTCATCACCACAATCACACAATCACAGGTGCAAGCAAAAGGAATGAGCCACTGATATATGTGTCATTGTCATGTGATACCACCAAGGACATCACGTGCATGTGCACACGCACTCCCCATCCCCCAACCAACATCATCGCCCTTCCATCACTTACCTTCCCTCTCCCTCCTTTCGCTCTGCACTCCCACGTCGCCCAATCACCACCACCGCCGTGTCACTTCCCTCCTCCCCCTGCACCACTCCACACAACCCAGCCCCCCAACCAGCCAACCAACCGCCAATAATCATCCTCACCTGTGCTTGATGCAGCCAGCCAGCCAGCGGATGGGCCACAGCGAAAGTTAGAAAAAGGAACCGCAATCACATGTCATGGCCACCATCGTCATCGCTGATGGAGCAGAAAGAGGAGATGAAGAGGGAAGAGTGGTGGGCACGGGCCGTGTCCTTCCTTGTCTTCATCCGTGCAGCCCCAAACACGGTGCACAGCGCACACGCACACGCCCGGCCATCATCACAGCAGCCACCAGCAGCAGCGAGCCAGCCTGCCCTGCGTGCCTGTGAAGCAAGGAGAAACCAACCAGAGACGAACAACAATGACCGGCGATGGTGAGGACATGAAAGGAGGGACACAAGGGACCACGCATGGGAATATGCAGCATGATGTGGGCGGGTGCATCACCTACACACAAGAACAACGAAGCAAGCACCCAACAAGCAAGCAACCAAGCAGGCACACCACCACCACCACATCCACCACTGCTGAAATACCTGTGTTGGCCGCTGTCTCGATCATGCCTCAACAGCTGCACATCGCATGGGGAAGGCTGATGATGATGATGACACAGAGTAGAGGCGATTGGTTGGGAAAAGAAGGAAGGAAATCCGCTGGGGAAACCCTGCACACGTCCGCCTGCAGCCACGCACACACGCACACACATGTGTTGTGTGATTGATTCATGTGAGACACACGTCAGTGCAACCACCCCACAGCCAATGTCAGCTCTGGTGTGTTGGCATCCACGTGTACATGCGTGCGCGTACATGCGTGCGTTTGTGTGTGTGCCACCACTCTACCCATCACCACACACACACACACACACACACACAGCCCCAGCGTCTCACCTGGTGCCTTCTTTTCTTGCACATTTGTGTGTGCGTGTATCGCCCTGCTCGTGTCATGGGGGGCTTGGGAAGAGAACGGCCACCGTCCTGTGCAAAATCACACACATGCACACATGCGCAAGCACAAAGAACCAAATCAGCAAGAATGACACCACGCAGCGAGCCAGCATGGCAGAAACAAACCACATCCACCTCCTTTGTTACGTTCACATCACCCACATCATCACCTGTGCACGCGCATGTCACATCCCACCACAAACACCACCACCACCGCCACATGCATCACGCCTGCGCATGCGTGTGCGTACGCAAGTCCACATCCACCACAAATCACTCACCACCATCATCATCATCATCGTCATGTGAGGCAACGGCACATCGACGCACATTACACCCTGTGTGTGCGTGTGGAGAAAGAGGTGAGTTGTCGCAGAATCAGGCTGTCAACGACAACAAAACCCATTGCCACCACCAACAGACCCAACGACATCCGACCAGCACTTCACAATCACACACAATTACATGCTGATGTTCACACCCAACACATCACACACCACCCACACCATCACCACCACCACCGCCATTTATCTCACCTCCACATCCACGGCCACAGCCGCTGCCGTTGGTGACCAATGACGACGAGGAGCAGGTGGAGATGGACCAGAGCCATAGGGTCAGCTCATCCAAAATGCAGCCAGACATCAGCTGTTGCTGTTGTTGTTGCTGTTGATGGTGGGAACGGTGAAAACAAACGGCCCCTTGCCACGCCGTGTCCTTTGCTCGCTCGCTCGGCTGCTTGGTCGGTTGGTTGGATGGAGACGGGATGCATGGCCCTGTGTCCAAATCAATCGAAAAAAAAAGGGGGGAGAAGAAGAAGAAAAGACACATGAGTGGACAGAACAGACAAGGAAAGAGGGAGGCGAAGAAAGAAACACAACATGTCAACCAACACACACGCACACACACACACATCTAAGTCGCCCCTCTCACCTTCATCACTCGTCATCATCGTCATCGTCGTTGGTTCCACCGCTTCATGTGCCTCCTCAACGCTGTGAAACGTGTGTGCACGGACACACGAAGAGGAGAATGGAGGGAGTGAGGTTGACAGCGAAGCATCATTAACCACACGCCAGCCCCATCCAACCACCCGCACTGACACACAATCACACGCACACACACACACACATTGCTCACCTCTTCGTCAGAGCGAGTGACATGTGCAATGTCTGCATCACGCCAGATTGGGGCTGGTGTGAGCCGGAGTGAGATTGGGGCTGGTGTCGGCCGGAGTGTGATGGCGATGATGGCGATGACGGTGGCAGCGGAGCTGAGGTGGAAGAGAGGAGAAAGGGAGAGAGAAATGGGGAAGGTTGATGATGATGATGGGGTCGTTCGTGGCGGCTGCTTTCCCCTCCTCTGACGTGGGCCTGGTGCCCATGCAACCAACACACAACGACAAGACACAACGATATCATCACACAAAGGCACAGGCATGACATGTGAGCACGGCAGGCGTGTTCACCTTCCTGCCCCCTCTCTGCTTTCCTCCTCCTCGCCCACGACACACACACACACACACACCTGCTGCGCATAGCTGCGTCGCTGTGGTTGGATGTGCCCACCATGACCATGGGCGTGTGTATCCACAGCTGCTCCTCCCAACCCATCATGTGTGCACCGCCCATCATCCTCCAACGATCCTCAGGTAGTCGCCCCCTGCAGCCGCAAACACACACACACACACATGGCATGTGAGCTGCACAGCTACGCTGCTGCACGAGGTACAACAGCAGCAACACCAAACACCCTCAGCAACAACAGCAACACATGCACCATGTGCCAACCAAAGCATCCATGATGGGCTCACCTTGCTCACGCATATGGGAACACTGCATGAACACAGCAACGGCAGCTGAATCAGGGGAGTTGCAGCAGCAGCAGCCGGCATGCGAGCCCGCTTCCATCAACATCCTGATGTGTGCTGGTACCTCACTACCTGTGCATGTGTGCGTGTTTGTGCGTGGTTGCAGGGAATGTGAATGGGAACAGAACACAATAGGCACAGAGCAAGCCATCACGTCAGCACAGCAAGAAGTGTGATTGACGTCACACGCACCACGTGTGTGTGTGTGCGTGCGTGTGTGTATGTGTGTGACCATCATCCCCCATCAACCCCCTTCCCTCGTGTTCGCTTCACCACATCACCATCACCGCCGCCAGCCCATCACACAACCAACCAACCACTCATCACCACCCACATACCATGTGTGAGGCGAGTGCACTTGGCACGCGTGGCAAGTATCCTCGACAGTTCCCTCATCCTGCTGCCTGTGCGTGCGCATCGCCTGTGAATGTGTTTGTGTGCGAGCACCAGCATGGTGAGTGAGTGGGAGGGAAGAGAAAGCATTGATGTGTGCGCAGTCACACTGCTGCTGTCACTGCTGGTGTTGTGCATGCATGTGTGTGAAGGAGGAGAAAGGGAAGAGAGAGAGAGAGAGAGGAAACAGAAAACAGAAGGGAAGGAACAAGACATGCGGCACCCCATCCATCCACCCATCCATCTTCCTCACACCACCACACCGCCATCCCCGTCACCAGCCACACCGCACCACACCACACCCAGCATCCCCCACCCCACCTCATCCATAAATCCATCCATCCATCCATCCAACCTCCTCTCCCTTTTCCCTCTTCCTCACGCCCTCACCTCTGCTGCGGCTGCCGAAAACGCAACTTGTGCTGTCGCTACCTGTTCCCAGCAGCGGGCAGCCAGCTTCTGCCAGCAGCAGTGGGCGATGGGTTGGTTGGTTGGTTGGTTGGGGGATGGGCTCAGCAGCAAGTGGTGGTGGTGGTGGTGGTGCTGCTGCTGCTGCATTGGCGGTGGAGGGTGTGTTGGCTGCTGTTGTTGTTGTTGTTGTTGTGATGGCCGTCAGGGAGGGCGAGAAAGAGAGGGAAAGACGAGCAGCGACTGCAAGGTGGAGAATGTGCAGGGATGCAAGCAGTCGTGTGTGAGAACGACGAATGAGACAGCACATCAAGCAAGGCAAAACAGGCAGCCGCACCACACACATGCATGCACATTGATGTGGGACAACAAGGGGAGGCAGGAGCAGCAGAGACAGCGACCACAAAACACGCACACTGGTGCTGTGCGCATCATACACACACACACACACGTGCAGTGGTGCACTCACGTTGCTCATCGCTTGCTTGCTTGCTTTGCGGTGTGAGTTGGTGTTGCTGTTTCCACAGCCGCACAAGCGTGGCTGGATGGTCATCACATGGCAGCGCCCGTCTGTTCATCCCACCAGAGCAGTGGTGGTTGGTGGAGGGTGGGGGTGACAGGTGCTGGCTCAAGGCCCTCTGTGGCGACAGCAGAAGGAAGGAGAAACAAGCGTGGAAGGGTGGTGGTGTTGGTGTTGAGAGTGGGAAGGAGGGAAGGATGTGAGCAACCACACAAGAACATGAGAGGGGGTGATGATGGCGTGTGAGTGGGCAGAGAAGAGAACGTGCACGTCGACGCACACACACACACACACACATGCACAACTGTCTGGGTGATGCAGTGGTTTGATCACCAATAGTCCGTCAGCATGCAGTCATTTGTGGGTTGGTTGGTGGAGGGTTGCCCACTGCCTCACGCATCAGCCAGCACCTGCTGCTGCTGCTGCTGCTGATGATGATGATGGAATACATCCATCTGCACGCACCACCACAAACAAGCAAGCAACAACGGCAGTGAGTAGCCTGTCACAGACAGACAGAAAGAAGAAAGACAGGAAGGAGGAGGATGAGAAGAAACACAACCCCGTGCACACACACACGCACACACATTGGCTGCGATGTTGGTTGATGCCATTTCCCCCTCTCTCTCATGTCTGTGCTGCTCACTGGTTGAGAGGTTGCATAATCCATTCTCAGGGTCGCCTGCTGTATGACGGTGGGTGATGGCAACTGTTCTGTCACCACACAACGGTGAGCAAGTGAGTGTGTGAGTGTGAGTGCGTATGTGTGTGTATTGGTGTGTACCACGCAGTGGTGTGTGTTGGTATGTGATCCAACCACCCATGCACGGATTGATGGTGGTCCACCTGTGTGTGTGTGTGTGTGCACGATGACAGCGTGCGCTGTGTTGTTGTTGTTGTTTATGGTGGTGGTTGTTGTTGCTGTGCGCAGTGTGCAAGGGGAAGAAGGGGAGGAGGAGCACAAAGTGGGAGGAAGAAGTGGGAGCACTCAATCTCACCCTCACCTGTCGATGGATGGGTCATTCATGTGGTCGTTGGTTGGTTGGTTGGTTGGTTGGTTGTGCGTGGTTCATCACAGGAGAAGGAAATGGACAACGATGGATGAATGGATGGATGGATGGAAAGGAAGGAAGGGAGAAGGTGAGTGGTTCATCACGGGAGGAGGAAATGCACAACGGTGGAAGGAAGGAAGGATGGATGGATGGGAGAAAGGGGAGAGACGGTGCGCACACCCTCCCTGCACATGTGTGTGTGTGTGAATGTGTCAGCGAGGACGACGAAGGGAAGAGAAGGAAGGAAGAAGGAAGGAACGTGGCACGCACAACCCCCAATTTGTGTGTGTGTGTGTGTGTGTGGGCACGAACCAAAGACACATCCCCACCTCACCTCACCCCACCTCAACTCATCCCACCTGCCTGTCAGCAGCGACGACGACCATGGTCACCATCACCATTCCCACCACCACCATCACACACACACCAGCTGCTGCGCAGAAGAAGAAGAAGAATGAAGCAACGGCGAGTGGATTGGTTGGTTGGTTGGTTGGTTGGAAAGCAGAATCGGTTGTTTGCTCGTTTCTGCTTGCTGCTGGTTTTTGGTGTGTGTGCGATTTTCCTCTTCCTCTTCTTGCTTACTGCTTGCTGGCCCTGCCTTGATAAATTGCTTGTCTTGCTTCTCTGTCGGCAACGTTCATACCAACGGGATCACGCCCGCTCTCGTCCGATCGCGGAAGCTAAGCCCGTTTGGGCCCGTTCAGTACTGCCGTGGGTGACCAGGCGGGAATCACGGGTGATGTTGCTCTCCTCCTTTTTTTTTTTCCCTCTTCATATGGGGTGTAGCTGCTGTGGTTGCTGTTGCTGTAGCTGCTGTGGTGCTGTTGTGCTGCTGTGGTTGCTATCTCACTTCCCTCTTCTCTCTTGTCTTAGCTTGGCTTGGTTCGGTTTACTTCTTCTTCTTCTTCTTTGCTTGCTGACTTGCTTGCTTCCACTTCGTGGGGTGAAGAGGTGGTGGCGTGTGTTGGCTCATCTCCCCCTCTCTTGTTGCTTGTCTTCAGCGTTGCTTTGCTTCACACGCACACACACACACGCAGCCTCCCTGACGTCGTGTGATCTCAACGCGTTTACTTCCATGCACAGACGCAGAGGTAACCACACACAAAGGTAGGCTGAACTATTGAACTCGTGACAAAGCTGATCTTGGTTACGCTGTTAGACATCTTCGTCCTCTCCTCCTCCTCCACCTCATCATCATCGTCACACGCAAACACATCACATGGGTGCATTGTCCTTGGCCGCCTTTCGTCGGTGGGCGGGGGGTGTTGCACCATACAGACTCCTGCATCACATCGTGTGGCGTCTCATTGGGCGTGTCGTACGCCAGCCCTTCCACTTGCATCTTCCCCCTGCGAGCATTTGCGTGTGTGTGTGCGCATGAAGGTGTTG